CCTGCATTTTGCAAATAGTCCATCAGTGGTTTCCATTCTTTAAGGTAATCGTTATTTGAGTTTTCTTTTAATAAGCAAGTCAGTTTATCATTTTCTGCCATTTCCATCAGTTTTAACAACCATTCATTGAAAGATTATTCTGGTGCTCAATGGCAAGCGATTGTCATCCTGGGTTATGCTGGCCAAGACTGGAGACAGGGAGTCTTTTTTAAGACTGAAAAGTCTAGGAGCAAAATGGCAGTGGAGCCCACCCATTTGCACAACTTTCTTCTCAAGGCATCCCTGCAATGAGCAGCAGGCGGGCCGAGATTATCTCCAAGATCCCTTCTGATCATAATAAGAAAAATCACAAAATAGAAAGACCTGTAAACAGAAGTAGAAAGACTGTGGCAAAAGAAAGCCAAGATATTACCAATAGTTATAGTTGCCTTAGGTGCCATCCCAAAACACCTGGAGCACCCCTGGAAGACCATCGGCATTGACAAAATCGCCATCAGCCCATTGCAAAAGGCAGCTTGGCTTGGAACAGCTTCCATCCTGCCACGATGCCTTTAACCCCCTCAAACGATGTCTGCCTATCCCAGGTCCGTGGGAAGGACTCGATAGGTGGACAAAAATGCCAAATCCAGTCTAAACATCTGGCTGACTGCGCGACCCACCATAATAATAATTAGCAACTCTGGGTGGTTTACAGATAGTTAAAAACATTTAAAAACAAGGAAACAACCCCAAAAGAATATAGCTGTCACGGATAACAAACCCAGATGGGAACCAAGAAACAGAAGCAAAAAGGGACTTCAATCATACTTGCCAAAAGCCAGGTCTTCAGGGCCCTTTGAGACGCCAGTAGGGTGAGGGCTGTTCGAATCTCAGGGGGAACCTAACATTTATTTGCTTGTAATAATGGTTCAGGCATTTTTTTTCTGCCACTGAGTCAGTGTTAACTCCTGGCAACTGCCTGGACAAGTCCCTGCAGTTTTCTTGGCAAGATTTCAGAAGTGGTTTGCCATTGCCTCCTTCCTGGGGATGAGAGAGAGTGACTGGCCCAAGGTCACCCAGCTGGCTTGGTGCTTAAGGCGGGACTAGAACTCACCATCTCCTGGTTTCTACCCTGGTGCCTTTAACCACTATGCCAAACTGGCTCTCCTCATGCATTATACTGGGGTACTATTGTCAGGATTTTCTTTCTCATGGGAAAGGATTCATCCCGTTAGCTTTACAACAATAACAAATAATATTTTGGCTA